AACTAGATCCTCGCAGCTCTGAACCAGAGTGTGGGGGCTGAGATAAAGGTAAAGGGTGCCCAAAGAAGTGTGTGTATGCTTGGAGAGGGGGACTTTTGAGGGGCCTAGGCAGACTGTTCCTGGCCTAAGAAAGTGGCAAATTATCTTCTAGAAATAGGGTCAGCAAAATTTTTCTGTAAAGGGCCAGGCAGTAAATATTTTAGGCTTTGCAGGCCATATGGTCTCTTCTGCAACTGTAGTTAGGTAGCCACAGTGCTATATAACAAAGGAGTGTGGCTGTGTTCCAATAAAACTTTATTTACAAAACAGGCCACATTTAGCCTATTGGTTTGTTGCCCCTTGTCCTAGACGGCACCTAAAAAAATCCTAGCCAGTCTCTCTGGGTCCTGTCTCTGGCACTTGGTTTGCATATCCCCCACATTGAGCTCTAGAAATGTACCCTGTTTATCTGCCTGTGGCCCCCATGGCTTCTGGGGCAGAGACTTCGTGTCCCTAGTGGCAGCACAGAACAGGTGCTTAATACATATTTTGGGAGAAAGTGTGTGTGCGGTGAAGGGAGAGATGATGTTTACAGCAGACAAACCTCGCTGAGCATTTCTAGCCTCTCGACAAAGAGCTACAGGGTTCATATAGAAAAACAGATCTTTGCTGATGAGAAGCATCACCAGAAGACAGCAGCCTGGCTTACGATTTCATTCCTTGTTTAAAATGCAAACCCATGGAGAAATCTTGACGTCAGGCTAAACCCAAGGAAGCAGCACCACCGGAACTGCCTGCAGACAGGCTGCTCCCAACCCTCTGGGGAGCCCTTCCCATCACAGACCCATCACCATTCACTTCAGCCTTCTCTGAGGAGGAAAAACACTGTGGCTAGCCAGAGATATAAAAATTCTTTGTTATTGGAAAATCTGTGTCTCTCTAGGCCTGTGCAGCACCATTAGGTGACGTCAATGGCTCAGGGTATCTGAGCTCTGTGTTTCCACTATTCTCAGAACAGCAGCTAATTCATGGCAGTAAATACATTTCTATTTCAAGCCTCAGAAAAGAAGAGGTGGCCCCTTGATTCTGCATCCCTAAGTCCTGTCTAAGGGCTTGACCTCTTTTCCTGTGAAGTAGGAAGAGTTTACAGGTGGCAGGAGGCCAGGACCTAGCCATTCAATTCTATTCAAGCTAACCAATAGCCTGAGGGCCTACTATGTACCAGGCAGCACGGACACACAAAGACAAGCACATCCTGGTATCCCACTGAAGAGGAGAGGACAGATAGCCACGCAAATAGCCATGATAATGGTGGGGGTGATATATAGCAAAGAAGGTACTTTGGGGGCTTGAAGAGGGTAATGGGACTCAATGTTTCTCGGGCTGGACCATGAAGGCTTGGTAGAATTTGGGCACATAGCGTTGCAGGGAGACTGGTGAAAGGGAGATTGCAGCAAGGGGGTCGGGTGGGGGGGCATTCATGAACTGAGATAAAGAGGAAGGAGAGGGAATAAGGTTAGGTTGGTGGAAGAAGGCTGTGCTTGATTTTGGACATGAGCTGTGCTTGGCTCATTTCCAGCACGAGCATGAATGTGCCCAAGTGGACCTGGATTTTGCATCATGGACCCACAGCCCATTCAGGTTGGTTTGTGCTGCTTGGGATCAGTAGTTCATCTCTAAAGAGCCACCAGCATTTCTTGTGCCCCTTCCTCTGCCCATGTCACCTCCCATGTGATCTCATTCTTCCTCCTGGGATTTTTTTTTTTCCCATTGAAAGTCAATTCCTTTCCTTTCTTTTCTCAGAGGTCTCCAAGGACTTGCCTCTCTGCGTGACTTTATGGTGTGAAGTAAACAATTCCTGACTCCAGATAAAATTGTCAGTGCTAAAGGAGGCATTTTATGTGGAACTAAATCTTATGAATAAGCACATGATTGCTTTGGCTGCTCTAGAATATTTTTTAGAATAGCCAAATGAATCTTGAATAAGAACAAAGCTAAAGGCATCATACTTCCTGATTTCAAGCTATATTACAAAATTATAGAATCTAATAATACAGTATTGGCATAAAAACAGATCAATGGAACCAAATAGAGATCCCAGAAGTAAACCTGTGTATATGTGGTCCACTAATTTACCACAAAGGAGTTGAGAATATACAACGGGGAAAAGACAGTCTCTTCAATAAATGATGTTGGGAAAACTGGGCAGTCACATGCAAAAGAATGAAACTGGACCACTATCTTATGCCATACACAAAAATCAACTCGAAATGTATTAAAGACTTGAATGTAAGACATGAAACCATAAAACTCCTAGAAGAAAACATAGGCAAGAAGCTCCTTGACATTGGTCTTGGCCATGATTTTTTGGAGTTAACACCCAAAGGCAATGAAAGCAAAAGTAAACAAGTGGGACTACATCGAACTAAAAAGCTTCTGTACAGCAAAGGAAACCACCAATGAAATGAAAAGGTGACCTACCAAACTATTTGCAAATCATATATCTGATAAGAGGTTAATATCCAAAAATATATGAAAAACTCATATGACTCAACAGCAAACAAACAAAAAATCCAATTAAACAATAGGCAGAGGATCTGAATAAAGTTAACCCCTGAACAACACAGAGGTTAGGGTGCCACCTCTTGTGCAGTCAAAAATTTATGTGAGGGGGGTTGGGAGGCTGGGAGAATGGGGTGAAGGGTTAAAGAAGTACAAATTAGTAGTTGATATTGGGCACGGGGAGCATGGAAGAGGGAATGTAGTTAGCATTACTACGATGGCTAAGAGGAGGGCTGGGAAGGGAGGGAGCTATTGGGAGGATCGTTTTATGAACATTATAGATGTTTGACTAATGTACTGCATATCTGAAACTAATTTAAATAAATAAACTTATTAAAAAAATTTACGTATAAATTAAGTCGGCTCCCCACATACACAGATTCCCAACCATGGATCAAAAACCTTAGACATTTTTCCAATGAAGATACACAAATGGCCACAGGTATACGGCAAGGTGTCAACATCACTAATCATCAGGGACATGCAAATGAAAACTACATGAGAGCAACTCACGCCTGTCAGAATGGCTGTTATCAAAAGACGAGAAACAACAAGTGTTAGTGAGGATGTAGAGAAAAGGGAACTCCCGTGCACTGTTGGTGGGAATGTAAATTGGTCCAGCTACTATGGAAAACAATATGGAGTTCCTTCAAAAAGTTAAAAATAGAACTATGATATAGTCCAGCAATTCCACACTGGGTATTTAGCCAAAGGAAATGAAAACACATACTGGAGAAGACATATGCACCCCTATGTTCATTGTAGTATTATTTACAGTAGCAAAGACATGGAAATGACCTAAGTGTTCATCAGTGGAGGAACAGATAAGGAAAATGTGGGATGTGTGCGTAAGTATATACACACACACACACACACGCACGTGCACACACACATATATGTACATACACAGTTAAGTCCTCTTTTAACACTGTTGATAGGTTCTGAAACTTAAAGTGAAACAACATATAACAAAACCAATTTTACCATAGGCTAATTGACATAAACAAGAGTTAAGTTCCTATGGCATCTCATCAACATTATAATGAAACAACATCGAACGAAATATTATTTGAGGGCCTGCTATACAATCGAATATTATTCTGTGATAAGAAGGAAATTTTGCCATTTGCAACAACATGGATGGACACTGAGGACATTATCCTGAGTGAGATGAGTCAGAGAAAGACAAATACCATATGACATAACTTATGTGTATTCTAAAACAAAACCCAACCCAACCCAAAAACTAAACTCATAGAGAACAGATTGGTGGTTTCCAGAGGTGGGGGTAGGTGATATGGGTGAAGGGGGTCAAAGGGTACAAACTTCCACTTATAAAATAAATAAGTCCTGGGGAGGTAATATACATCATGGTGACTATAGTTAATAATACTATGTTGTATATTTGAAAGTTGCTGAGAAAGTAGATCTTAAAAGTTATCACAAGAAAAAAATCTGTAACTATGTGTGGTGATGAATGTTAACTAGGTGATCATTTTGCAACACATTCAAATATCCACAGATACGTCCGATGGACTGGGACACCAGTGGAAAGCCCTGCACAGGCTCATTGCCCTCAGCCCTACTTCCCCTTCGGGAGCCCCCTTCTCACTGGGAGGAGGCCAGTATCTTTGGGTCCTGTCGTCCCCCAGTTTATTTCTTTGTGTGGTGAGGCTTCACCTTCTGATCCTCCACTTAACAAGTATCTGACATGTTCCACTAAAATGGCTTATGTTCCCAAAGTCCTTTATATCTTTTAGAGATATTGTCCCTTCTTTTCAGATCCTCACCTAAGTCAAAGGCTATATTTTGTATGTTTTCAAAAACAGGTAAGTGGTAATTATGTTTGTTGAGTACTTTTTTAATCAACAAACTTTAAAGCATGAAGTAAAAACACATAATTAAGTACTAAAAGTATAAGTCAAAAAGAATAAAGTACCAATATCAACGTTGCTGTCTATGATAAAACTCTCTAAAAAGGTTCTTAAATACAGAAACTTATTAAAATTCTGTTACTTCAGAAGACAAAGCTCGAGGTATTGTTCTGCATAATGTGGTGGTAAAAAAACAAAATCAGTACTAATTTGGAATGATTCTTGTTTCTGATATAAATTTGTAGGGGTGAAATGTTCAAATGCATTTTATTTGCTTAAGAAATTAAGATAGAAAAACAGAACATTTTTTATTTGGAGGAAAAATTTTATGCTCTCATAAAATATATGTCTCGAGTTGCACAGCCACAAGCTAAATCGAGTCTGATGTGCATTACTAAGACAGTAGCACAGGCTCACAGGGGAATTTTTTTTTTTTTACTATTTATCAAAGGAGCCTAATTTTGCCATAAACCTTCTTAATTGGCAACAAGAAGAAGATATGGAGGAAGACAAGCAGAGAACAGTGGTGAGAAGGCAACACGTGGTCAAGCTGACAAAGCGAATGAAGCAAACCGAATACTGTACCTGCTTATTATGGTCAGTGGTACAACACAGTTTCTTGAGGGAGACAAAATGCCTAATTTTCCTAATAACATAAATAATCAGTTATTAGTGAGTCAGGAATGAGATGATTCAACAAATCAGCAAATGAAAACACCAAGAGAAACTTCTTAAAGCAAAACTCCAGGGTCTATTCTAGGGTTGGTTTAAAATTCAGACAAAACCCAACCTACAGAAAATGCATTTTCACCCACAGCTCACACATGCTTTCAGAAACCAGGCTTCCCTTTTCATCATAGCTGGCTCAAAAACACTTTCCTAGTGGGTATTTCATTTTGTAACTGACTCCTGAAGCTTGGCTCCTAGATATCTTCAGTGAAAGGATGAAATGCTATTCCAGACAAAACTGGCTTTAATTCTGCTGACGCTAATAATTTTTTAGCTTATATAAAAAGCAAAAGACTCATTTGGACAATAACCAAATTTCATGTCTGCTATTTTTGTATTTAATAATCCATATTATTTCACAGCATGGTCATCATAACAAAGGCATTTTTCAGGCAGGGAAAAACCCTCTCATTCCAAGGTCATAGACTCCCCAAACAGCCTGCAGCCCTGCTCATTACCACCAAGGAGACCAAGAAAAGACCACAGGTGCCTCAGATCTGCACAAAATTCAGCTCAAGGTAGGTTTTCTACTGAGAGTGAAGCCAAGAATTCCAGAGGGCTATGTTAGATTTTACGGTAATGAGTCTCCTCTGTCTCTGTCTCTTTCTCTTTGGTTCAGTTTTCTCTGCAGGGCTCTGAAGAGTTATCCTGTAATGAGCTTCACTAAACAGGAAGAGGTAAAATTTGCCTACTTTTCATAAGAATTTCCTGTGATAGCTCACTGTCTATAATAGTGGGAAAAATAACACTACGTCTGGACAAAAACACATCTCTCTTCTGTAAAATCAGAAAGAGCAGAAATATTCATATGATAGAAATTACCAAGCAATAGCATGTCTCCTCTGCCTTGGTTACCTAATGATTCTGGACTCACAAAGTGAATCTTAGCTTAAATTTTCTGAGAAGATGGTCTAAGGATGATAACAAAACGTGAAAGCCATTGTGGTCTCTGAGCATTGACCACTGGTGGCAATGGCCACGCTGAGGCCTTTGTGCACAGGAGAAGGTTCTGGGTGGCCTCTCTCTGTGCTTGTAACCCTTGGTCAGGGCCTCCTAGTGCCCACATCACCCAGACTGAAGTGCAATGGCAAGAAATAGGAGGTGGTGGTCTCAACTGAGAGGGAACAATTTCGAAATTAACCAGATAAGTAAAATTGGAGGAGGAACGACCCACAGACACTTTGCTGACTTTATGGAATGTCTTGTTTTCTGATCACACGACAATTTGCAAGGAACTCGGTTAGTCTTAAGAGTCATAGGCAAGACTCTCTCCTTTAGGTTATTGGCATAATAACTGCCACCTTTTCTTTTTCCAAAACTTCACAGGACGGCAAGCGTCCCTTATAAATCTGTACTCTGAAGCTGCTGTTGACCTTCAGGCTGGTTTACCAAGGCTCCTCAGTGATGTAGTTTGGCTTCACAAACCTTCTCCCAAAATTTAACTGGGAGAAGGAAAAGGAATTGCACATTTGCCTTCTCTCTCCACAAACGAACAGGATTCTCTTGTAATCTGAGATTAAATGGAATCAGAACGCCTCAACTTTGGATTAGACACACCTTTCTCTCCATAACCATGACCTCCAAGGCTCTTTCTCCCCTTTGCGGAGCAAGCTCTGAGCTCACCTGGAGAGAACCTGCACAGAGCTGATGCCTCAAGAGAGAAGGTCAACTCCTAGTTTTGTTGTTGTCATGAAGGCGGAAGGCCTAGAAATTGAGCTCTTTCAGAGAGTAGTGGCAACGATAGAACCACAGACAATCACATGGAGGTGGGGAGCTTGGATGATGATTCATAAAGCCCATAGGCAGGAGAAAAGGGGGAAGGGAAGCTATGTCTAGGGGTTGTGGCCGGCCAAGTGGAGGTGTCCTTGGTACATACGATGTACAGCCCAACCCTACTACTGTATCTGTGGGTCTAATGCTTACATTGGCATTTCAATATGTAAACTCAATGCCCACAGGGGCCCTTCAGCTAAAAGAGTTCAAGAGTTTGCTCTCACCCTCCTTGGCCGATCACTGGGGTGATCTTCACATGCTGCTGAATGCTGTCCCCGGATTTCCGTCTGGCATAGTAAACCCCCTGCCACTCCTACATGGACAAAGAGAGCTCTTAAAATCCTTCCATTGGGACTGATGTCTTTTCCTACAGAAGGTCCTATCGAGTTGACCAATGAAGTTCACACATGCTTCTGTAACATTTCACAAAACACCACTCTATTGTTACACCCTCTGTGATGCTGACTACGTAGGGCTCAAGGTCACGATGCACAAAGACCACAAAGCCAATGGGTCTACCACCAGCTGCTCCTCCTGGGCCCCAGGACACTTGACCAGGGAGAGGGTGGAGATCTGTTCTCAGCTTTAGGGGCTCCAGGTCAAAGGATTCCTCTGAGGTCTTTCTCCAAGTCTTCACAACCCGTGAGCTTGATATTGTCATCCTTAACTTACAGACAGGTAAACTGAAGCTCAGATTCTAACTAATTTGCCCACATTAAGTAGTAGAGGATGTGGTTATAAATTTGTACCTCTTAATTCTCCTTGAAACCCATCATCTTTCTACTATCCTGTGGGGCCTCCAGCCAGGACCCCTAAATTAGTCTGGCTCCTGGCAGTTTCTGTAGAAGAGGCCATAGGGAGTGTGAAGATTCCTGCGGTCTCTGGACCCTGGGGAACTGGCTGGGATGAAGAGCCTGGTGATTTCAAGGGTGAACCTGAGATACCTCCACAATTTCTGGGAGGGAGTTGTTAGATCAGAGCCTGAGCCTTTTCTCTGCAGCCTTTTCCTGCCCCGCCGACCAAGATGGCTAACTGTTATGCATATTGGGGTCACCAGATGAGTGGCAGTATTCTTTTGGCAATTTTTTGGGAGTACTCGACAATGTTCTGTTTCCTTTTCAGTCTCACTGCCCCAATTTTTTAAAATTAATTTTGTCCTTCACATATAATCTAAACTTATTTTATTCTTGCAAAATAGTCCCTCATTAAATACACACAATACTTATCTAACTACTTCACATCAGAGAAAGCAAGATGAAAGACTATGTAAAAAAAAAAAAAAAAAAAAAAAAAAAGAATGCTCAAAAGAAAATGCGCAGGCAGTTCCAGCTAGCTACAAGAGCAAAGCTCCTCTGGAGAGTGAGAGAGCTCCTCTGCATTTACGCCACTGCCTTTACCTCCTGGGACCACGTGGAAGCTACTGACAAACGGACATTTTGGGGAGATGTAGGCTATCCATTTCTACTGAACTGTGAGGAGTAAAGAGCACAGAAAAAGGAAGACTGAAAATTGGGCCTTCATGTAAATACTGGCATGAAACACTTCTAGTCCCCCAAATACTAGATAAGCTGAAAAACACACAACGCCTTTATGGGCGCAACTCTGCTCAGGCTGGAAGGATATTCTAGCAACAAGAAGTGGGATATAGTCAGGCAAAGGAAGTTCCTTACACGAACTCACCAGGTTCACTTGATACCCAAAATTAACTCAAGAATTAACTCATTTTGCAAAAATGAAAGATTTTTCACTTGAGTATTATAACATTATTAAACAAGCCAATCTTAAAGGCGTGATAGAAAAACACACAGAAAAAGAGAATGCAACTGCGGAGGGGTGTGCGGATTCGTTTTGTTTCACCTACCTTGCCCTTCTTGATGCACGTGTTAATGGTGTCAAGGAGGTCTGCCCGGTTCTTATCGCTTTTAGGCAGCTCTGCGAGTTCTTTCCCCAGGAGTTCACCTTTGTGATAGCCCATCATCCTTTCGAAAGCTGGGTTGACATACTGTGAACGGGAAGTGGTTACAGGTCAGCGGAGGGACACTGTGTGCCCCGGAGGAATGCTTGCTGGGACACAGAGGAACTTGCTGGAATAGCCCATAGCGATGACTCATCTCAAAATCTATAGCACAAAGGTCATTTTAATTTTCCCCTTACACATAACATCCTCTATTCAACTTCTTCCTCCTTGCTCTTAAGTTTTATATTCAGATTGCTGCTAGGATTTTAAGGGGGCCTCAAGGGATCTCCAAGAAAAAAAAACTGCAGTCAGTATAGTTTTCTTTTCAATGCAGCAACTCTTCCCTTTCCAATTGCCCACCATTCTCAGCCCATTTGTTCCTGTTCATGCAAAAGGCAGGGAAGTGATTAATAACATGTGACAGCATCATCACAGTACCTCTCCCAGAGAGATACAGGGTTTCTAACCACCGGTTGCTCACTGTAGAATAAAGGACTCTGTTCCCTGTGAAAGGCATCATGTTAGATACAAGTGGGGAAGGAAAGCAGAGAACAGGGAGCCCCTTCTCATTACTGAGGTCACCACTCGGCTGCCAACGGTAAAAGAGGGAGGTGCAAAGCAAACGTGTTTCATGAAGAGAATTGATTGTTCGAGTCTGGAAATAGATGAGATTTGTGTTCGGTCTGTAACAGAAACATGTCTGGCTTCCCTGCAGTCCAGGATGCAGACCTGGGCACAGGTGGGCCAACAATAGGCAGCAATATGAGAAAGCTTTCAGATCCATTTCAAGGAGCAGCCAGAAAAACAAATTCTATAAATATAGACAAACAGGACACCAGGTAGGAAGTCTTTGGAGTCAGAGAGTAATGGCTACAAATTTTGATTCCAATACTTATTACCAGGGCTTTCCTTGGGTATGTCTTTGACCTTGATGGGCCTCAGTTTCCCCATATGTACCATGGAGCCCTTATGTCTCTTTCACAGGGTTGCTGAATGGAAATGAGATAATCTTGTGAACGTGTTGATGACAGGGTCTAGGCACGGCGGGCTGCTGATGGCATTGGTCCGGTATCAGAGCAGGGTGTCTGTGTGTAGCGGAGGTTTTGCAGGAGAGGAAACGTGGGGCTGCGTTGAGCACTGACTTTGACCCCTACTGATGATAGCAAGTGCGCCTCACAGTGTCACTATGCAAACCACTGCAGGTGGGCCAGCACCCATCAGTGGGAAGTCTGCATTTCAGAGTATTTTTTAAGTATAAAGGTCTTACTTTCCAACAAATATAATATGACTACTTTATTTCAACAAAAGTTTGTCTACTATACACATTTCCTTTGGCATATGAGTACTTTATAATGAGAATACCAACTATAGGCAAATAAATAAGTACCTCTGAAAATATTTTGATCCCATAGGTACTTATAAGCATTTACTTTACAATTCTGATATACTTCTGTATAAATGCTGTCTTCACAGATGGTCCAATGAATTTACCCCACCTCTGTCAAGGAAATCACAGGCTCTGATCTGAATGACTTTTTTATTCATATTGAATATCTACATTTTAGCTTAAGTCTATCAGTTTTCTTTGCATACTTTGATGTTTCTTTCTCCAAAGAAAATGTGCTGAAATGGGAGAATGGGAAAGTACTTGAAAAAGGGTGGCTTGAACTTGAAAGGTTCTATTTTGACATCTAAAGATAAAAAGTGTCTCTGTACCTGAATCACATGGTCATCGCTGGTTATTTCTATGGCTTCATGACAGTGGTCTAATGCTGTAAACACTGAATTACAGGCCCTGAAAGTTGCAAAAGATCGGTGTTAGTCCTGCTCTAAAACCATGAGTGTTTCATCTGTTAATTTATCAGAGTAAACCGTTCCTCAGATTCATTAAAACCGTTTTGATATTGTTTAGACAAAAAAAAAACAACAAAAACCCACCAACCTAGCCTTTCAAACTAAATGAATAAACAACAGCATATATTTACATATATATGATACAAAGAGAATAACTGTAACCAACAAAATCTTCATGGATTGAACTACATATGTGCTGAATGAAACCTTAATACTGACACGAGAACAAAGGTGCAGGGGACTGTCTTCTAGGTCCCCAATGTTCTCTGCCAACGATCCGTTTCCTTCAGTGTGGTCATGGAGAAGTCATGTTCCCATCAATTAAGAAAACCCACTTAAGCCCAAATTGGATCAGAAGAATTCTGGCCTTTTCCAGCAGGCACATACATTTCTTTTCTCCTTTCTTTCATGATCTCTGATAAACAAGGCTTTATAGCACTTTGCTTCCAACCACACCCACTGGCATGATGGAAGGCAAATACGGGAAAATTCCCCTTCTCTCCGTTATTGTACAGCTCTCCGGGTGGCATTTTTCTTGGTGATTTTCCCTGTATATTTGAAATATTTGAAATCATTTCAATTTGTCAACTTCTTGGATAAATTTTTAACTATCTTACAAATCTAGAGCAACTCCAGATACAGTGAGTTGTTTACTAACAGGAGGTGTGTAGCTAGTTTCTAGAGCTTTGTAATTTATACTGGTTGTTTAAGGAATTCCAGTGAAGGCTTTCTTATGCATTTCAAAAAAGATGTTGACCTAGATTGATGCTTCTTCTTATAAAATAAACTCTTAAAATGTTATTCATTTTATCTATCTAACTTTCTCATTTTGTTTTGAAGTGTTCACAAAGGACAGGGCAGAACAAGCTGGGTGAAATCTGGTTTCATATTTTGCCGGTTATGGGACCTTAGACAACTTTTTATCTTCGCTGGCCCTCAGTTTTCTCATCTACAGAATAACATTTTACAGGTTGTTACAACAATCAAAATGGATAGTTCACATGAGGTATTTCATAAAGTGCTTGGGACAATATGAGAATTTAACACAAGGTACTTATTATTTGTAAGATCCCAGAGTAATAGTTCTTTGTTTTCTTTCTTTCAAAGACTGTTGGTGAAAAGTGGATCATAACCTATCTTTTCCCATGATTACACCTGAAAAATCTGGTATATCAAGAACTGAAATATCAAACCAATAAAAGCATGGTAACCTGCATGGGGAAGTGAAGGATTTTAGCCTGATGAAGGGTGGTGTGCCTATAATCGCAGAGATTAAGGGACCAGTGTGGTAGGATAAGTGAAACAATTACTACATGAGTGAGCAGAGAACATAAACCCAATTACTCAACTGAGATTCCTGATGGGTGTGGTATGTTTTCTTATTTAAATCACTCCAGGCTATCTATTTGGAAACATATACTATCCTATTAGCATCTCTGCATTTGTGAACATGATCAGTTAAAATAAGAAAAAAAGAATAAAAGACTCTAAAATTGTCACCAAAGCCGTTATTGTGCTGCCTCTCATGAAGAAGAAGGCAAGAGCTAGTCCTATCGGAAGTATGTCCCAGGCACTTGGGTGCAGTACCTGACCAGATACCACAGGACAGCGTCCTTGTCCTCCAGAAGTTAGATGTACAAAAGCACACTCTGTGGGCTAGCTCCTTAACTTTGAGAGCTGGATAATTAAGCTCTAAAGCATTTTAGCAAATGATAAATTCCTCTTTTGCCCAAGTAGCTTCTTAAAGTACCTGTGTCTCAACTAAGTATGTAAACAGGTACTTCAGGGTATTGTTTTTGTCAATTCAAGAGGTTGCCTTTATATAAGATCTTTGCTCCAATCTCTAAAATTTATTATTAAACATTCGTTGTATGATTATCCACAAAGCATAGAATCTTCACTAAGTATAATGCCCAATGGAACAAAGCAAATTCTTATCAACAATTGAAGTGAAAGGATATTGGTGGGACCGGCAGATTATTTTACCCAGTGACAAACACTAGTGGACCGCAATGTTTAGATCTAGGCTTTGAACCGATTTGGTTCACGGTTCTATTTTAAGTAAATCTGCAGCAAAATGAGGTAATCAACTTGAATCATGTTCCTCGAGTTTGGGAATTTAATTGCTTGTATTAATTATTAATACTCTTCATGCAGAAGAACCCTAGCTTTATTAATTTTCTGTTCTTGGGAACCTTGGAAACCTGCACCTCAAATGTATTCTTTAGGTTGAGAAGTTCAAAAACTGGAAAAAGTAGCACAAGAAGGTAACT